GCCCGTGAGCTTTTGCTCCGGCTGCCTTCCGCCGTCCTCCGCCCGCGCCATGGTCAGCCTGCGGCCGTCCGGCCAGGCTCCCCTGCAGCCACTGCTGCTGCTCCTGGTGGCGGCCGCGCGCGCCCTGCCCGGCGCCGCCGGGACGTGCCCCGAACGCGCGCTGGAGAGGCGGGAGGAGGAGGCGAACGTGGTGCTCACCGGCACCGTGGAGGAGATCCTCAACGTGGACCCGGTGCAGCACACGTACTCGTGCAAGGTGGGCCCGCGCGTGAGCCCCGGGACCCCGAGCCCCCTTCGGACCGTCCTGGAAGCCTGGGTTGGGGCCCCCTAGCCCGGAGGTCCTGCCATCGCGACGCCGGCCGCCCCGCTGAGACCCCCGCCCCGGGCCGTGGGAACGAGCCCCAGACGCTCCGCAGCGCCCGCGCCCGCTCCCTTGGCGACCGCCGACCCCCGCGTGGGGCGCCGGGTCTGGGAAAACTCGCGAGCGCTGGAGGGAAAGTTCTTGCGGTGCCGCTGCCATCCCGCCTCGCGGTGCCCAGGCCCCGGAAACCTGATCGTGTCTGCCCCTTCAACCCAAGCCCACTCCCTAACTGGAAACAAGTGCGCCTCCCCCCGGGAGAATGTTCGGCTACCGCACCCCCTACCCACCGGCCAAAAAAAAGGAACGGGGACGAGGGGAGGTGACGCTTTCTGCTTGGGGTGGAGGTGGGGTTTTGGCCTGTGGTCAGTGCTGTCGCCCCCGCCCCCGCCAGAGGCGAGAAGGGGTGGTCAGGAGAGAGTGGAGGGGTGCACACCTTATCTCCCAGCCCCAGGGCTCCTGGTGGGGCATGCTGCAGTGATGGGTGTGGGGGCCGGAGCAGAGAAGTGGGCGGGGCCGTTGCTGAGCCTCAAGTGTCGGGGTGCAGGGCAGGTGCCCCATCCTGCTCCTGAGAGACCTGGATCTCCCCCGGCCACAGGGAGGGGGAACTTGCCTGGCCTCTCCTTCAGTTGGATCTGGGAGCCCCCTGGGATAGGTCTAGTGGGGTTTTTCCCACAATCTGTTCCTAGGGAGGGCTCAAGGGACCCAGGGCCCTGCCCGCCTCTGGCCCCTTAAACCACCTCCCCGACCAGAAATCGGATCATTCCTCTTCCTTGGAGATGGGGGGGTGGGGGTGGCAGCTTCTTTCAGCCTGGCCTGTGCAGGCTACAGCTGGGATCCCCCGCCGGGCCCCCTCCCCTCCACCACCGCCAGGGCACTTTGCCAAGTCCCTGCAGGATTTTCCCGACTTCCTCCCCGCTGCTCCTGGGTGTGGCTGGGGTGGGGGGAGGCGATGAAAGCCACCCAGCCCTCTCCTGCTAGCTGTCGTCCTTCTAGAGCCTACTGTGTGTCTAGGGGTGGGTGGGGGGGAGTTGGCCAAGGCTCCCCCGTCTCCCCTGGGCCACTGGAGGGTGGAGGGAGTCCCAGTCAGATTTCTCAGACCCGAGGCTCCCAGCAGGGGCAGGCAGGTGGACGGGCCACCATTGTCCTCCATTCCCCATTCTGGAAGTCCTGGCTCCCCAGAGCTCCCGAGGAAAGGGGTGTCTTCGCAGGCGCAGCATGCATGGGCACGTATCCCCATGGACCTTTTCCTTTAGGACCGCCTGTTCTGACTGCAGCCCCTGCGACCCTCCTCCCCCCACCCCCAGCAGGCCGTGGGCGTCCCGGGGCCCGGTTTGTCAGAGCAGGTACCCTCAGGGCCCCAAGAGCAGAGTGGGGAGGGTGGGGCTGCCCTGTGCTGCCCAGGCTTGATTTTGAGGTTCACAGGCTGCCTTGACCGCACTCACTGTAGGAGCCTTGCAGGAGGAGGGCCTTTCACCTGCCGGGGGGCATGGTGTCTTCAAGACGCCCACGCATAGGGCTGCATGGAGCCCAGCTGGCGCAGAGCCCTGAGCTCGGAGCTCGTCGCCCTGAAGCTTCATCATCCACTTTAGCTGCTCCTGGCTCTGCCCACACAGCATGGCCAGAGCAGTGGGCGGGGCGATAGGGAGAGTGGGGCACGGAAGGCAGGCACCCCAGCCCGCTGGGTCCCCTTCCCATAACCAGCCTGAGCCGAGAAGGACATTATTGGAATTGGGGTGGCTGGGGTCACTTAGGCCTGGGCGTTGGGGGGCTGCTTCTTGAGGAGAGGGGTGTGTTTGCAGGCCGGGTGTCCTAGTGTGTGACACTCATGGGTGGGCAGTGGCATCCATCGTGTGTGTGCTTCCCTGCAGCTTCCTCCTGGGGGGCTGCCCCAAAGATCTCCACACATCTGCCCAGGGTTTGGGTCTATCTACTCTGGACATCTGGCCTGAGCAAGTGAGGTGGGAAGAGAGGAAAAAACCCAGGTGCCAGTCTGGTGTTTGCCTCTGGCCTCTGCGGCCACCCCTGCCCAGTAGGAAGAGGACCACTGACACCTGCACACCCCCCGTGTCCACCCCAGGTTCGGGTCTGGCGGTACTTGAAGGGCAAAGATGTGGTGGCTCAGGAGAGCCTGCTGGACGGAGGCAACAAGGTGGTGATTGGCGGCTTCGGAGACCCCCTCATCTGTGACAACCAGGTGTCCACTGGGGACACCAGGATCTTCTTTGTGAACCCTGCCCCGCCGTACCTGTGGCCAGCCCACAAGAATGAGCTGATGCTCAACTCCAGCCTCATGCGCATCACCCTGCGGAACCTGGAGGAGGTGGAACACTGCGTGGAAGGTGCGTGAAGGGGCAGAGCAGGGGAGGCACTGTGGGGGGCAGGAGAGGGTTTGCTGGAGGCGAGAGCACTTGGCATCTCGTGGTCCAACCTCCTTTTCTGAGTCCCAGCTCCCTGGCTTCCCAGCCATCTCAGCTCCAATCTCTGATATAAGCAGCGCTCCCCACCCTGGCCCTGGAGATGCCACCACTTTTTGTCTTGGAGCCAAGCAAGTCCCAGCCCTGCAAAGGGACAGGCCTCCTCTCTCTTCCCCTCCCCCTCCGTAGTTCTGCATGCCCCTTCCTGGAGTTCCCTGTTCTAGGAGAGAGGCTGGGACCAGGTGAATGAACATCAGTTGTTTGTGTTCTGCAGAAACCCAAACATCTGTTTAGACAGGGCCCAGATGTTGAGCAAACCCGTTGGGGTGGGGCTTAAGGGTTGTGCTGGAGGTGGGGCTACCCCACCATGTGTTCCAAGAGGCCTGTCATTTCTGGGAGGGGCAGTTATGTGGAGTGGGCTGCTTCCAGGAGTTTGAGTGGGTGTGGGATCCCCTCACAGAGGTACAGAACCTTTCCTTGTCTGCTCTCCCCATGCGTCCATTCTGAATGGCCCAAGAGCATCCGCCCCCCACCCCCACCCCAGCCTCTGAGCGGTGAGCAGCAATCACATGACCAGGGCTCACCCACCCACCTCAACCCAGGAGAATCCCAGTTGGGGGCTGAGATCCTTGGCTGAGGAATGTAGCAGGGAGAACGTAGGAACTGCCTGTCGCCCTCACATCCTGTCTCTCCCCTCATGGCTGCCTGGGAAGGGATGTACCGGAGAGGGCGGAGAGAGGAGAGAACGCTTCCTCCCAGGGCAGTGGGAAGGTCCTTGACTCCCTGTCCTGGGAAGGTGGCCCTGTCCCTCTGATCTGCTCTGTTCGCCAGCAGGGAAGCTCCATCTTCTGCCCAACTTACTGCTGTGGTGCTGGCTTGGCTTTTGCGGGGTCCTGGGTGGTGGACTGTGCAGGGCGAGGGGCAGGACCTGAAGCGGGGAGCCCTGTGGCATCCTGCGCGGCCTGTTGTCCGTTGCTCCTGGGGCTGTGTCCAGGGTCCCAGCCTGCAGCGTCATACAGAGAGGCCGGCGGGGCTGTGTCACTGGTCCCTTGCAGCACCAGCTTAGCTGAGGTGGTCCCAGCATGGCCCTCCCACCAGGTGAGGACTGGAGACCCTGGCCCTGCTCTGGAAGCTTGTGGTCTAGGGAAGAGATGGGAGGGTGGCATGGAGATGGGGCAGGCTGTGGAGTGTGATGCCCAGTTTTGAAAAATAAGTTGGGGGCTAAGGAGAGGGGTCAGGGCACAGAGAGTCCCCTGCTTCTGCAAGATCAAGAAGGCGCATCACTAACTCTGCAGCTGGACGGGTCCAGCCTGAGGGTCCACGACTCGGTAACTGAGGCCTTCTGTGGGGTCAGAGGGCATGTGGCAGGAGGGCCACCCCGGGCAGAAAGAGATTTGCCGTCTTGCCAGATCCTGCTCTACCCAGGCCAGGCCCTGGTTCCGGATACATCAGGCTGGGCAGAGGGACACCTGGAAAGGAGGGCCCACAGGGAGAGCTCCCAGCGAGACTTCACCTTCTGTGTGCTAGCTGCCCAGGATAGGGACCGGGCTAGGCCCCCAGCTCCAGTTGGGCCGGTGGGGGAGAGTGGTGCTGGGACCCACAGGCCAGTGTGTAGCAATGGGGTGAGCACCCAGAAGGGGCTGAGGCCACCAGAGTCTTCTGGGGTGGGCCTGCCAGGAGGAGGGTCTTGGGGAGGGAGGTTCACGGAGAGGAAAGGAAAGCAAGTAGCCTTGACTGTAGCTTGGAGCCTTGTGGTAGAGCCAGGGTGGAGGGGAAGCCCCCAGGGAGAGGAGGGGCCCAGAGTGAGAAGCTTGGCGTCCACTGCAAGGGGCCGGGGAGCCCTGGAAGTTTTGAGCCCATGACACGGATCCCTTCTTTGGAAGCAAACCAGGGCACCTTGAGGGGCAGGGGCTGCGGGCAGGGTGGGTGCCTCCCCCTTGAACCTCCCGAAGGCCTGAGGCAAAAGGCCCCCTGGAGCTGGGGCCAGGCTTGAGGAAGAGACAGTCCTCTCCCCACCTCCCCCAGCAGGGTGCGGCTGGGAGGAGGGCCCACCTTCCACTCTGTGGGAGATAAGGACCTCAAACCCCACTCCAGGCTCTCCAGGGAGACAAGGCCTCACCCTAGTGAGGGGTTAGGGTTAGGGATGGGCAGGGATTGAACTAAGATGACCCCTCCCTGTCTGATTCTGACCCTGTTCTGTTCCTGGGAGCCCACAGCTGCCCCTGCCCCACAGGGCCCAGAGTGAAGGCTGGGCAGCCACTGATTTGTGGAGGTCACCCCAAGACCACCCAAGACCCCTGTCTCTAACACACCTCTCCCCAGCCCCCAAAAGGCCCACAGCCGCCAAGGTCAGGGGCACATCCTGCCCGGCCCACCTCCCTGGATGCCCCCAGCTCATTCCCACCTGGGCCCCAGCTCTACTGGGACTACCTTCCTCAGTTTCTCCCCCAGGGCCTGCAGGGTCTTCCTGGCTCTGGGTCCCTTCCCCAGCCTCCAGCCCCCAGGAAGCTCCTCCCCAGTCCTCCGCCTGGGGAGCCACATTCCGAGCATAACTGAGACAGGTATGTGTCCCTCCCTCTGCGCCACCTGTGGGTGAGGGAGACGATGCTCTGCTTCAGAGCAGCCTCTTCAGGAAGGAGCCCCTCGCCCCCTGCTTTGTCAGGGAAGTGGCCTGGCCTCTTCCAGTGCCAGCCGCCCACTCACCATGAGCCTGCCCAGGCTGGCAGCTGAGCAGGCATCTCCTCCAGCCTTCAGCCACTTTGCCCTGGTCTGGGCAGCACCCATACACTCCCACCACCCTCCCCTCCCCCACCTTATGAAGACTGGTCCTGGGGCCCCCTGAAGCCCCTAGGAGGGATGCAGCCCTGGGGCCCTTCCCCAGGCCTTTCCCTGCCCACTAGGAGCCAGGAGCAGAGAAAGGAAGTGTTGTCTGCCCTCTCCGGGTCTGGCACAGGGACAGGGTCGGTGAGTCTGGCTGTGGCCCAGCTCAGCCCTGCCCAGCCCTGAAGCCCGGGGTCCTGGCGGCCGTGGCCTAGCCTGGCCAGCCTGATTCCAGTGAGCACCCTCCCTCCCTTCCTCCCTGCCAGGCCAGCCTTCTAGGGCCTTTGGGAAGGCAGTCCTATGTAGCTCAGGCTGGAGAGGTGCTGGGTCCCAGGCCACCAGCCTGGCACTGGTGCAGGCGCTATGGCCTCGGAGCTGGATGTGGACTGCAGACACCCCCAGACAGGGACTGGCTCTCCCTGAAGCAGAGCGGGGGCAGGTAGAAGCCCAGGGGGAGTTTCCTGGGCGGCTCCCTCTGCTGTCTGGCACTTAGCTTCTGTACCCCGAAGTCCTCTGAGCCTGTCCTACTCCCACCACATTCCTCCCTGAGGTGGGAGGTGGCTGCTTCCTGTCCCTGTTTCCCTCTTCCAGACTGTAGGTTCTCACCCCACCCCCCCTCCAGACCCGCCTAGCGCCCTCGGCCCCTCCCCCAGGCAGGCCCAGGCTGGAGGCTGCCCGCCCAGGCTTTCTCCTTCCTTCCAGCAGCCAGGGGTGGGGCATCAGCTCAGGTGGGGTGTGATGACCACCACCACC